GTCCCCTGAGCACCGCCAGGAGTGATTCCTGAGTGCATGAGCCAGGAGTAACCCCTGAGAATCGCCTGGTGTGACCCAAAAAGCAAAAAAATAAAAAAATAATAATAAAATAAAGGCAGGGGCTGAATAGTACAGCGGGTAGGGCATGTGCCTTATACTCAGTCAAATCGGGTTGGATCCCTAGCATCCCATATGGTCCCTGAGCTCACCAGGAGTGATTCCAGAGTGCAGAGCCAGGAGTAGCCCCTGAGCATCGCCAGGTATGACCCCAAAACTAAAAAAAAAAAAAAAAAAAAAAGGCAAGGTAGCCAACATCAACTTTTTGGCTCTTGAAGAACCCGTCCTGAGGGTGGGAGAGCTGTGGAAGAGACTCGGGCTACCGTGTACCGTGACATCTGCGAACACCGAAGCAGCCATTTCCCCTTGGCCTACAAAGCAGCTGCCACAGCTGAGTTATGAGTTATACAATCTGATGTTGAGGCACACGGAAATGTAACGGAAAGTCATTCTGACAGATACACGTTTTAAAGAGACGAGGCTCAAACAGGTTAGAGGGAAAAAAGGAAGAAAAGATTACCTGTCAAATAAGAGAAAAGCATTTAACCTCCGAGAGTGGGTGGAATACCAATGCACTGAGCAATTTGATAAATTGGGCACTTCAGCTTTTAGAGACGCACAGTACTTCTTTGTAATTTCTAAATTGAGTTACTTGTCCATCCAAGAAAAAAGCTGATGTGACTTGTGTGCATTTTTTAAAGAGCCGGATCATATGTAGCTGTCCGAGCCCATTCCACGGTCAGACCAGACAGAAACGCACAGACCAGAGGCTGGAGCGATAGCACGGCAGGTAGTGTTTGCCTTGTACGTGGCTGACCCGGGTTTGATCCCCAACATTCCACATGGTCCCCCGAGCTCTGTTAGGAGTGATCCCTGAGTGCATAACTAGGAGTGATACCTGAGCTTTGGCAGGTGAACCCCAAAACCCAAAAAGGGTGTTTGGGAGGGCACAGGCCAGAACCAAAGTGTGGGTCTAAAAGAATCTTGTGATTTACAATTTTTTTTTTTGTTTTTGGACCATACCCCGCTGTGTTCAGGTATCTCTCCTGGCAGTGCTCAGGGGACCATATGTATTACTACTGATTGAACTCAGGTCCACTGCATGCAAGGCAAGAAGGCAAGTATCTTACCCACTGAACTATTTCTGTTATTTTTTTTTGGGGGGGGTGGGAGGCTTTCTGGGCCACACCTGATGGTGATGCTCAGGGTTTACTCCTGGCTCTGCACTCTGGAATTAACTCCTGGTGGTGCTCAGAGGACCATATGGGGTGCCGGGGATCGAACCCAGGTCCGCTAAGTGAAAGGCTAACGTCCTAAGCGCTGTATTATCGCTCCAGCCCCTACAATGCCTTTTTATTTTGGGCGTGCTGAAGGTCACTCCTGGCAATGCTCAGGGGACAGAGATGGCAGGGTCAGAACGTGTACCTCCTACACACAGACACGCATTCCAATCCTTTCAGCCCAGAACCTTGCAATCTGACATGTGTGGAACTGACTCATACAACACGGGCTTTATAGGGACAAAGCACAAGCAGACAGCAGCCACCATCCGGGACCTGGAGGCAGAGAGCAAGGCACGGCTGGCCAGAGCTCTGATAGGGGGCCGCAGCGCCAGCAAACTTCAAGGAAAGCCCAGGGTGCGGGTGTGGCTCTCCCTGGCCCATGGCCCAACCCTACCTCGGGCCTTATCCTCCAGGACCCTGTTCCCGGGATTCTCATCTCGCCCCAGAATCATCCCAGTATTTCTAACTGCTGGAGCCCGTCTTTGCATGTTGTCTACAATCTCCTGTTCAGAACCGCCCTCGACACAGCCTGCCTTAGTGGATCTTTCTTGGGATTGACAAATTAGCGAATAAAAGTTGGTGGGGAGTCAGGGGCACATTGGTGGGGGGGGGGAAGGACGCAGAAATTTTGCACATTGATCCGTATTATCTAAATGATAAGTTATAACTTAAATTTTTTAATACAGCAAAAAATGTTAAGTTAGGTACTAGGATATTCTTTTAGGGAGTTGGGGGAATTAGGGGGATGGGCCACACCTGACTGTGCTCAGGAAGACTTACTCCTGGCTCTGTGCTCTGGGACCATATGTGGTTCCAGGAATCAAACCGGGTCAGCAGAGTGCAAGGCAAGTGCCTACTCTTCATACTATCTCCTGGACAGGTAACCGATGTTTAAAAGATGTGAGCATCTTTGGAACTGAGCAGAACCATGTCAGTACCTGAGCACTATCTGCAGAGAGCCAGGCTGAGAATCACTAGATTCTCCTGAAGGCGTCCTCCCAAAATATTACCAAATGGGGCTGGAGAGACAGTACAGAGACTAGGTCTCTTGCTTTGCACACAGATGATGGGGGTTCAACCCCCAGCATTCCATATGGTACCCCAAGCCCGCCAGAATGATCCCTAGGCACTGTGGGGTGTATCCCAAAAACTAAACCAAAACACAATATCCTGGGTCACCTGAACACCACTTAGGAGCCCTCCTTCCCCCCCAAAAATGTATAAAAATGTCCTATGTGATAATGAAAACTTGCTTTTGGGAAAAAGAAATAATAATACAGGAGAAAGAGCTATACCAACCAAATGGTACAGTCAAATGGTAAACTGGGGCGTGGCTGGGGGTGGGGCTTGGATAGGGTCACACTAAGATGGTCTTAGGAGCCACTCCAGACTCTTGTTCACAGTGCTCCAGGAGGTGCTCAGGGCATCATGCAGAGCCAGGGATCAACTGATGTTGACCCCTTGCAAGTCAAGTGTACTATCACTCCAGCCCCCCTCCACCCCATGGTAAATGTGTTCCCAAGTTTCTCCATGAGTAATGTTAAAAGCTGATACTGTTTTTCTATCAATAAAACTACTAAAAACCAGGAGTAAGAAAAAAAAATTGTTCCATGTACTATTTAGGACATACTCACACCAAAAAAAAAAAGAAATTATTCAGCAAACTATGAATAGAAAGCAATTAGACACCAGAAAGAAATTAAAATGGAGCCAACATGGAAAGGAATAAAAACTACTTCTCTTCAGAGATGACAAGATTTAACGTAGAGAAGAAAATCCAAGGCGGGATGTGGCTCAACAGTCGAGCACATACCAACAACGCAAGGTCTCCTCAGCACCAAGGACGCCCGACCCGTGCACTGCGGGACCTAACATCACAGGGAGTGACCCCCACAGGAGGGAGGGAGGGAGGGGAAAGTGGGGCAGGGAAGGGGAAAAGGAAGGGGGAAGAGGGGAGGAAACAAAGGAGAGGAGGGAAAAGGGGAGGCGTGGAGGAGGAGCTAGAGAGCTAGTACAGCAGTTAAGGGCCATGCCATGCATCCCACCAACCTGGTTTTGAATTCCTGGCCCAGAAGGTAGGGTGTTTGCAGCCGACTTGGGTTCGATTTCCAGCATCCCATATGGTGGTCCCCCTAGTACCCTCAGGAGTTAATTCCTCAGTGCAAAGCCAGGCGTAACCCCTGTGCATTGCCAGGTGTGGACCCCCCCCAAAAGAAAAACCAAAAAAACAAAAAAAAAGAATTCCTGGCTCTACTTAAGGGGTCACTTGTTAGCACAGACAGGACTAATGTCTAAACATCTCTGGGAGTGAACTCCCTCTGAGCCCAAAGAAAGAATGGTGTCTCCTGGTTGGCTCAGTTGGCAAAGCTTAAAGCAAAGTATATGAGAACCAGTTTTCTTTGCTGCTGTTGAATCAGGGATGCGGCTCAGCAGTAAGTGCTTTCCTTCCGTGTGAGGCTCTGGGTTCAATCCCCAGCACCACCACACACACACACACACACACACACACACACACACACACAGTCACTACTGCTGAAGCACCACAACACCGCCGCTCCTCCCTACCACACACACACACACACACAGTCACTATTGCTGAAGCACCACAACACCGCCGCTCCTCCCTACCACATACACATACACATACACACACACACACACACACACACACACACACACACAGTCACTATTGCTGCTGCTATTATGACAGGAAAAAAAAAGGCATTAGTTCACCAAATTGCTCCAGTTCCATAGTTCCTGGACTCAGTGGCCACATACACAGTCCAAATTTCACATCATTATCAGACCAGCAAGTCTGATGGGGAAGTTGCATAGCCCACCATGCTCAGTGAGCAAAATCAGTAACACAGAAGGCTCAGTGAGCACTAACCAGCCAGTAACTTTAGTAACATCACTGAGAATACAACAATGATCACAAACTGGCTTTTACTGGTCTAAGTTTTGTTAATTCCTTTTGCCTTTGTGTTGTAACAAACAATATGAAATAAATTTGCACTTGCTAAGGGGGCAGGCTGGGGTGATGGGTTCCCACCCATCCCCACTGGGGATGTGGGTAGAAGGAAGGTCACACAGGCGGTGCAATTGGTGCTGGAATGTTTAATACCTGAAACAACTGGCTTGGTAAAAAAAAAAAGTTATAAAAAAATTAAAAAATTTTTTTCCTCTTTTCAGGTCACACCCGATGATGCACAGGAGTTACTCCTGGCTCATGAACTCAAGAATTACTCTTGGCAGCACTCAGGGGACCATATGAGATGCTGGGAATCAAACCCGGATTGGCCGCATGCGAGGCAAACACGCCCTACCCACTGTGCTATTGCTCCAGCTCCTAAAAAAAATTTTTTTAATTGGCTTTAGACAATATCTAAATACATTTATTGTAAATATTCAAAATAAGGCCAAGTAAAAAGACTTTTTAAATTTTAGGGCTACACCTGACAATGCTCAGGGCTCCCCCGCGGCTCTGCTCAGGGATCAATGCTGGTGGGCCTTTGGGGCCTGTGTGTGCAAGGCAGGCACTCTACACGCGGTGGCCTCTCTCCAGCCGCCAAGGCTAGGAAAGAGGAAGAAAAAATGCGCAAACTACTTGACCTTTGGACATTTTGAGATGCTTTTTATTTATCAGCACCAAATAGCAGCAACTTGTACAACTGGGACCATTACGGAATCCTTAGTAACATACGGCAGCTCCGATCTGCCCTGAGAGGAGAGTGTCCCCAACAGATGTTCTTTTTACCCAACATCTCTTAGGTCTCCTAGACTGTTCCCCAGCACCTGACACTGTGGCCGCTGAGAGCCCTTCCAAGCAGAGAGGCCCCTGCAGGCCCCTCAGAGCGCAGACGTGAACACTTTCTCGTGGAGGTAGGCCAGCTTTTCCAGGCGAGTTCGTTTCAGGAGGGGGAGCCATTCCCAGTAGCTCAACTCGACCACACGGTACCCGAGCCGATTCAGCTGCCGCCTCTTCATACTGTGCAGTCCAAGAAGATGCCGAGAACCGTAGCAATACTGGTTCCTGTTTGTCAGCTGAATAGCCAGCCTCACCCCCGGGCCCGGCAGAGAGTCTGGGAGACCTGGGCCGGACACCTCCTCGGCCCCCAGTTTCTCCGGCACCTTACTGAGGGAGCCCCCCAAGGGTCCAGTCGCCTGCTTCTCCAAGACTGGAGGCTGCTGCCCAGTCCCTCCCTGGATGGGCCCTCTCGATTTCCCTTTCAGTAGCTGATTCATCAAATCATCCGTAAGGCTGACTCCCACGTGCTTGAGCTTCAGCTGGGCGACCTCCTCGGCGGACACGGCTTCTCGGTTAAAGGGCACTGGCTTCATGTTATTGTCAAGCTGGACCTCTAAGTCAGAAGACCGGGTATGGGGCAGAATCATATGGTGTTTGACGTACTGCGGCCCACCCAACATGGCCTCAAGTAAAAGCTGGGCTTCCACAAATTCAGGCTTCGAGGTCATATCCTTCCTTGCTAAACTCCACAGGATTTCTGACCCCTCCTGCCGAAGGTGAGAACTCAGGCGGCTGCCCTGGTAGTCTGGACACTCGATGCCAACGCTGCCATCAAGGGTACACAGCTCTTTGATGAGCTCAAATTTGCTTCTTTCCTGCGCTAGCCTGACGAACTTCGGACTCAAGGCAAAGTCAATGAGCTCCGCTGGAAAGCGCTCGGAAAACGCCAGGCCCAGCAGACAGGTGAACAGATGCTCTGGGTATCGGTTGAACTCAGGCAACTTCCTGTGGATCTCGCCCAGCAAACTAGAGTAAAACTCCTCTGCGTTGGGGGGCTTGTAACTCAGGGTTCCAAAGGACCAGAGAATCTTGGCCACGTCTTTACTGCGACAGTACGCGACTCGAGGTGGCAGAGAAGCCGCCACTGCATTCATGAGCCCCTCGTCCAGGAAGCGTAAGGCCGAGCAGGAGAGAGTCAGGTGCATGACGCCCTGAACCCCCAGGGACGGGATCCGGGCGGGAGCAATCTGTCCAAACTGCTTCATGAAGGGGGCGTGGTCCACGTGAGTAAAACGCAACATTTTGAGGATGTTCACTAGGGCGTAACTGCTCAGGCGCTGCATGTCGGCACAGGCCAGGTCTCCGATTCTCCGCATGAGGAACTCGGACAGACTACTGCTTGATTTAAAGAAGCCCAAGCAGATCGTACCCACCTCCTCTAAATTGAGCAAATCTATATACCTGAGAATCAAGGATTCCAGTTTCTGCATCAGGTCCTGGGGTACCTGCCGACTTTCGCCGATAATGTAAATTAAGTGTATCAGCTGGGACAAGGTTAGATTTCTCCAGTGCAAACTAAGGTAACTATAAAAGATCTCTAAAAACCGAGGTATCCTGCGACCCAAGGACCGCCAGAGGTCAGCCACCAGGAGCAGCTGGTCCAGGTTCATCGCCCACACCTTATGGCAAAATTTGGTTTCATAGACGTCCAGCATGGGATGAGAGGGCGGGATTCTTAGAACGACAAAAGCCTTCAGGATACTGATCAGATCCGGGGCATCAAAGTGTTGGATTTTTTTCACACTCAGCTGGCAGAGCAAAGCAAAGCTCGTGCTGGCCAACAACACGGGGTGCTGTGGGGCCGGCAGAGAGGTCAGCTGACGGAGATAGTCAGCAACGAGCTGGGGTTGGAGATTCTCCTGGTGAACGGTGACTTTGTGCAGGATGAGTTCCCCTTCTGAAGCAGACAGGGGCTGACAAGGCTCAGATCTGGTGTAGCTGTGACGCTGATACTCTGGTCTGAGCTGGAGGAAAACTCGGGGATCTTCAAAGGAATTGAAAACTTCTACATCTTCATCGGCTTTCCCGGGCCCGGCGGAGTCGGGATGCAAGGTGTCGGCCTTAGAGGTAGAAGCTCTGTTGAGTTCCAGGAGGGCACTGCGGATTTTCAGGAGGCCCCGAGAAGAGGTGCGACAGACAGTCTCAGAATTGGTGGCGGCACAAATACCATGTCCTGGAGGGTGCGGTCTCCTGTGCCACGGGCAGCTGCCCACCTTCCAACAGGCCACACTCCGGGTTGCACTGTGACCGAAAGGACTGCAGAATGCTCGACATCCTAAATGTTTTAACAACTGGAGATGGGCCGCCATCCTGGGATCAGTACAGACTGTTCTGGCCGCCAGGACACAGGCCTCGCAGGTCTGGCCAGGGAACTTCTTGTGGTGCTGGATTAGAGCCGGACTGGAAGAGGTTCCACAGAATCTACCTGGAAATCTTCGGCATATCACAAGTGCCATGGGCCACAAATCAAAGGGCCAGAATATGGAGCCAGATACTGAAAAGAGGGTAGATGAAGAATAAATGGCTTCCACTTACACAATACCAAAGCTTACACATTAACAAGAAATGGATTAAAATTGCATAGCTGTCAGGCACCCATATGGTCCCCTGAGCACAGCCAGGAGTAATTTCTCAGTGCAGAGTCAGGAGTGTGACCCCTGAGCATCGCCGGATGTGACCCAAAAAAAGCCCAAAAATAACAACAAAAAAAACACACAGCTATCAGACTAGAGAGATAGGACAGCAGGTAGGGTGCTTGCCTTGTCTGTGGTCAACCAGAACTTGGTCCCCATCACCTTACATGGTCCCCAAAGCCCCACTAGGGGCGATCCCTAGATGTTGAACCAGGAGCAAGCCAGAGCACCACCAGGCTTACTACACAGTTGTCTACTCGAGTAAGTTTGATGATAGCAATACCAAAGCAAGATTTTCTTGGTAAACCAGGGCAAACCCTAAAACAATTATATAGCAAGGGTAAGCTCCTTGTGCCTTGCATAATAGCACCAGACAACCTAAACCCAGGGCATCAGCAGGCAGTTCTCTGGAGGTCTCTGTCAGTGTAGACTACCTCTACTGAAGAACAAAAGTAGTGGTGGGCGAAGAGAGAGGCCTGCTACTATCCAACAGAAACGAGGAAGGGAGTTTCCCAGAAAGTAAGCTGGAGACAAAGTGAATAACCGACTCCATCTCTGCTATCCACCCTTTAAGGTCCCACTTGGTAAAAGAGTTGGTAGATAGGAATGGAGCAATAGTACAGCGGTTAGGGCGCTTGCCTTACACAAGGCTGACCCGGGTTTGATCCCTGGCATCCCATATGATTCCCTGAACACCAGGAGTGATTCCTGAGTGTAGAGCCAGGAATAACCCTGAGCACACGGATATGGCCCAAATAGGCAAGAAAAAAAAAAAAAGGAAAGAAAAGAAAGGTGGTAAGAAGTTATCACGCTGAAAAACATTGAAGAACAGAAAGGAAAAGAAGACAAAAGTTGTCAAGCTAAAAAACCAAAGTAAAATGTGGACTCAATATAAAGTTAATTATAAAGTTAATTAATCAGACCCACAATAACTCTCCCTAGACCTACAGCACAGAAGTTGCAAGAGAGAACTTTGCAGCTCTAACGCTACTCTTTTCCTCCCTCTTGCACAGCAGTCAGGCAGCTGGGAAGTGTACTCAAAACTACTCATTTGGGGGCCAGAGAGAGCGTGGTGGGTAAGGCGCTTGTTTTGCTGCAGACCTGGGTTCCAGCCCCAGCACCCTTATGGTTCCCTGGGCACCACCAGGAGTGACCGCAAGCGCAGAGCCCTGAGCATCACAGGGTATGGCCCAAATTAACAAAAAAGAACAACAATCAGAAAATATCAGAAAAACAGATTTGAGATAATTGCATTTTTTTCTATTATGTTCAGATGATAAATGAATGCTTATGTCTCATAATAGTGACCAGGAGTCTTAATCAATACTGCAGCACAGAGCAGGGCTTGTCCACCATGTTTGAGGCCCTAAGTCCATCCCCCTGCATTCCTCCCCAAAAAGAGATAATATAAACAAGACTGCAGCGTTAAGTGTGGTGGAAACAAAAAAGAGAACCCAGTGATGGGACGCTCCTGCTGACACAAGTGGGGTTTTAAGATCTGCTCTGGGGGACCAGTGCCATAGCACACCGGGTAGGGGCCTGTCTAGCACGCAGCCGACCCAAGTTCAGTCCCCAGCACCCCATATGGTTCCCTAAGCACCGCCAGGAGCTATCTGAGAGCCAGTAGTAACCCCTGAGCACAGTCAGATGTGGCCCCCAAACCAAAACCAAACAAACAAAAAAAAAAACTGCTCTGGAACCTGTAATCTAAATTTAGGCCAACAAAATGTGAAGACCAAGTGTCATCAAATCTAACTGGGTTCCGGGGCTGGAGAAATAGCACAACGGCTAGGGCATTTGCCTTGCACACGGCCAACCCGGGTTCGATTCCCAGTATTCCATATGGTCCCCTGAGCACTGCCAGGGGTGATTCCTGAATGCAGAGCCAGGAGTAACCTCTGTGCATCGCTGGGTGTGACCCAAAAAGAAAAAAAAATCTAACCGGGTTCCTAAAAAACAAAAACAATAGGCAGAGAGAGCTCAGAGGCTGAGTGCAGGCTCAGAAGGAGGGAAGTCCAGTGTCCAGCACACAGTCCCCAGAGCATACTGGGAGTCCCCACGCATAAGGCCGGGAGAAACCGGAGGAACCCCTGAGTACTCCAGGTATGGCCCCCAAACAATCAAGTATTTTTAAAGTAAGGAGGTGGGGGAGGGGTGAAGAAAAACACTTTTCAGTAGTTATGCTGGGAGTAGAGAGAAAGTACAACGGGTAGGATAGTTGCCTTGTACATGACCAACCCGGGTTTGAACACCAACAAACCATAAAGTCCCCAGAGCAGGACCAGGAGTGAATTCAAATTGCAGAGCCAGGAGTAAGACCTGAGCGCTGACAGGTGTGGCTTTTAATAAAAACCCCAAATATATGAATAAATAATAATAAAGCTGTGCTGCTTTTCAGCCAAAAGCAAAACAACCCGAATGCCTCCCAGAAGGAGGCAGGTTTTTAAGTGTTTAGCAGGGAGCAATCAACACACGGTAAAATACATAGAAACTGTCAGTGAAACAGTAAGAAAACAAAGAAATGCCATCAGCTAAAACATAACTGCAGAAAAGGGAAATCACTACATAGATTCTTTATTAGGAGAGTTTCTATTCTATCTTTTAACTCTCCCTCCTTTTTATCAGGGTTACAACTGTTAATACAGAAAGACATAGGCACCAATTTAACAAAACCTTTATAAAGAAGAGCAATCTAAAAGCACATAAAATAAGTAAAATTACTACCTATAAGTATTAATGAAATTATTGTGTGGTCCTGAAATGAATAAAGGCACCACTCCCTGGCACAACAATGTTGGAGGGATGTAGATCGAAAAGTTTAAAATTTTACAAATTTCAGGGCTGGAGCGATAGCACAGTGGGTAGGGCATTTGCCTTGCATGTGGCCGATCTGGGTTCAATCCCCAGCATCCCGTATGGGCCCCTGAGCACTGCCAGGAGTAATTCCTGAGTACAGAGCCAAGAGTAACCCCTGTGCATCGCCGGGTGTGACCCAAAAAGAAAAAAAAAATTACAAATTTCTTTGCCTTGTGAAAATACAGAGTAAGATATCCCAAGACAGAGATAACAAAGGTCCCACCATCTTCAACCCTCCTTTGTGCCAAGTCCTGACTGAACTGCTTCGCCTGCGTTAGTTCCAATCCTTACAACCTTTCTGGAAAGCAGGTTTGATTGTCTCCATCTTGCAGATGAGGAAAAGAAGACTTCACTAAAAATCCTGCCAGAGGCGGAAGTGGGGTCCAGCATAAACCAGAGATGACTGGGTTCCCAGACCCTGCTGCCACATACTGGAGAGGCAAAAAAGGGGTACCAGGAGACCCAGATTCCAGATGGGGAGAGGGGCCGAGGGTGAGAACAAAGTGAGCTCAAGAGCCTGCCTAGCTCCCGCTGTCATCCTATGACCCTGGTTGGCATAATGGTTGATAGTTTTCGCTATTTACAGAAAGAAGAGGAAAGATCTCAAAGTCTGAAACTTACATGAAGGAATGGGTTTATTTGTTTTGGGGTGATATCGGGGAGAGCTGGGGGGGGGGGAATGGGTGTAATACAAACATGCACTCAGTCTTTTGAACTAGCTAGCTCTCTCCTGCCCACAGAATGGGTTTACAAGGTCATCCGGTATCAAGATAAAGGCAATGTCCACAACCAAAGACTTGAACCATAGGAGAAATACAAGATTCAGAGTTTGGGCTCAACTTAATAGGGAAAAGACAAAGGGAAACTCCCAAGATAATGTAAAGGAAGGTTCTAGGACAAGAACTATGAGCAAGGGCCTGGGATATGGCTTGATAGAGCACCTGTAGGGCTCTGGGTTCAATTCTCAGCACTGACCAAAAAAAAAAAAAAAAAAAAAGAGTGAGCAGATCTAAAGAGTAATTTAATGGGAGCAAATGGATACTCTAGGAGAGGAAACTTTATATAGTCAGTGTACAAACAAATATTAAACAGAAAATCAAGCCAAAAAGAAATAAAAATTTATTGCAGCCAGGAAGAGTTTAGTGACAAAACACATACCTCACACGTATGACTGCACTGGGTTTAATCTCTGGCACCTGTAAAATAACTGCTCAAAAGTGCACTTCTCCTAGCAATACGACAGTGGATAGAGCACTTGCCTTGCATGCAGCCAACCCATGTTTGATACCTGGCATCCCATATGGTCCCCTAAGCACTGCCAGAAGTAATTCCTGAGTGCAGACCCAGGAGTAAGCCCTGAGCATCCACGGGTGTGGTCCCCCAAAACTAATTAATTAAAAATAAAATACACTTTGGGGCTGGAGCAATAGCACAGCGGGCAGGGTATTTACCTTGCACGTGGCTGACCTGGGTTCGATTCCCAGCATCCCATATGGTCCTCTGAGCACCGCCAGGGGTAATTCCTGAGTGCAGAACCAGGAGTAACCCCTGTGCATTGCCAGGTGTGACCCAAAAAAGATAAATAAATAATTAAAATGCACTTCAAGGGGCTGAAGAGGGGTTAAATGGAATTAACTGGGGTTAACATAATAGCCTTGCATGCAGGTGACCCCAGTTTGCTCCCCCACACAGCAAGGTTCCAAGCACCACCACGAGCAACACCTGTGCATAGAGCCATGCACAGTCCAGCAAACTGCTGAATGGTCCAAAATGCAAAATCCTTGGGGCTGGAGTGATAGCACAGCAGGTAGGGTGCTTGCCTTGCACGCGGCCAACCCGGGTTCAATTCCTCCGTCCCGCTCGGAGAGCCCAGCAAAGCTACTGAGAGTATTCTGCCCACATGGCAGAGTCTGGCAAGCTCCCTGTGGCGTATTCGATATGCCAAAAAAAAAAAAAATAACAAATCTCACAATGGAGACATTGGTGCCTGCTTGAGCAAATATAT